GCCCCGGCCCGCCCGGCCCGCACCGCGCCCGTACTCCCTTACCCTGCTCCGCTCGCCCTGGTCGCCTGCCTTCTCCTTCTCTCCTTCTCTTCCAAATGCACATTTGCCACACTCGTCCGCTCCGGGTCGCCCCTGATTTATCGGCTTTTATTGTTTTTAATCCTCCTCGGAGCGCACCCTCTCACCGATCAGTCTCCCGAGGGTCTCTCAAGCTCAGAGCCCACCGAGGGCTGTGAGCGGGGGAGACGGGCGGCGCGGGGTCGGGCAGCGCCGGCCCCGCTGGCCGGCGGCCCCGGGGAACCGGGAGCGGGAGCGGCAGGGGAAACTGCAGCCAGGCTTTCACCCACGCAAGCCCCGACGGCTGCTGGGCGTCGAGGAAAGAGAAACTTGCCCGAGTTCCCACAGCGGGCCGTGCTGCACAGGCTCGCCTGGCCCCCGGGGCTGCCCGCCACCTCGGCCCGGCCCCGCTAGGAGCCGAGGCAGAGCGCGACGAAGGGCAAGGCAGCCCAGCACCATGCGTCCCGGCCGCCCGGGGAGCTCTGCCTCCCTGCCCGGGATTTTAACCCCCTTAAGCCCTATTTTTCGGGTAAAGTTTTCAAGTTCGGCTAGCCTACAAACCCAACTTAAAGCAGTAAATAAAGTTAAATGCTTTTTATTTTCCTCTTGAATATATTAAACTACTTGAACAATTTAAAGTGCTTTGCAGAAGTGAAGCGAACCATTTCTAATGTTCTGATTTTTCAAAGCCAGCCAACAACAAAGTTTAGATTAGTAATATATTTCTAACCAGAGTAATTTTCAAGATCATTAGGCATTTATGTAATTAGTGCCAAATCTATAAGCTTTTATTACGATTATTAGAGTAAAATCAGTATAAATTTGTACTAATTTACTACTGTTTAGACTTGGCTGTCAAGCCAAGAGGTTCTTATTGTAAATGATAACTGAGGAAATTAAGTGCAAAATTCTGTACCATTTCTGATCCGCTCCTAAACAATCCGTTTCAATTGTATTTGTAGCAGAACATAATGCCCTTTTAAAGTTATTTGACTTGTATTTTTATTTGCAAAACAAGAAAAATACCCTCTACGCGGGCACAATGAAAACTGATATTTACTACTTCCAACTTGATTAACATTGATTTTTAATTCAAAAGTGATGCAATTAAGATTATTCATTTAGTGCAAATAAAGCTTCCACCAAAAAGCGAGCCCAGTGAAGTCTATGTTAAATAAAACGGAGCCAATGGCTTTTTTTCTCCGCCATCCAATTGACTTACACGAAACACTGTAAATACTGCATGCGAACAGATGCAAGAGTGGTTTTGTTTGCAGCTCAGATGTGCAGGGGTTTCGGCAGAGACTGAAGGAGACAAAGGAACCGGCCGACCGATCTCTAGGGCAGTTTTGCTGCCTTTTTTTTTCCCTCCTCCCAGCTCAGGCTACATTGATTCAATTCAGCTTCCGAGACCTCGGGCTGTTGCGAAGAACCTGGGTACTCGGGAACGGCCGCTCAGAGCAGGGAGAGAGACCAGAGCCGGGCCACAATTTAGCCGGAGACAGAAAGAAAGGAGATGGAGGTGGGGTGGGAGTTTCGGGATTATTCTTTTTTCCCCGGCCGGATGGGTGACTGCGGAGACAGCACATTCGCTGTGCTTTTTTCCTTTGTAAATTATTCTCTGTGTGCAGCTGTAGGGCAGGAGGGGAAGACCTGGTGGTGGAAACTGCTGGGAGGAGTCCCCCGGCCCGCTGCCGGGCGTCGGGACCCGCGGAGCGGAGCCGGCGGAGTCGCTGGGGAGACGGGCCGGAGGCGCGGGGGGACGCGCAGCCTTTCGTGGCCGCGGGAGTCTGGCCCTGCCCGGGCCGGGGTGAGGCGAGCGGTCAGGGGCTGGCCGGGGCGTCAGGGGCTCAGCTTTAGCTGCATGTATCGGCACAAGTGTGCGGCGCTCGAGGTGCCCGCAGCCGGCTTCTGCCGAGCGCGCCGTGGGCAGGGTGGCAAGGCGTGCGTGTGCATCTATTCCGTGTTGTTGTATGTTTCAGGTCGATAAATAAATGTGTAATAGTTAATGTGCAGACACATCAGAGTAATAACAATGGGATGAAATCAAAGGATTATCAATCTCTGTTAGTAACTGCTGAATAACAATGTTGCGGTGTGATTGATAGCGCGCTTCATTTTATGACTTTTCTATTGCTCTTGATTTTTATAGCAGTATAAACAAACTAAATCATTTCTTCTAAGACTTCAGATCGCAATCGTCTTAAGGGAAGGGGGGAAATCAGAGAAGGAAGTCTGCGGGAGAGAAAAGAGCGGACTGGGCTGACACTTACGCGTGTCAGAAAGAAAATGACAATGGGGCACATGTAAAATACCCTAATCACATTCCGCTTTCGCTCACTCCTGTTTTGTCAAGTGCCCGAATTCACCTGGGCAGCGTCGGAGATGTATTTACAAGGATTTTATTCCCCGTCATCTTTCCATTTTCCCAGTGTAGCCAGAAAACTGCCAGTCAACTCCATTCCCTGTTACAATTTACGGTATTCCCCACATGATCATAGGAACTGAAGTTCTTAACAAGGAAAGGCTTTAGCACAATGGCCAAAAATCTTCAGAGTGACACGAGTGTCTTCAGAAATCACTTCAGAGCAAAGTAAAAGGATTTTCTATGACGGATCCAGTGATTTTTCCTCAATAAATAGGTTTTAGATTGTTACACACACGTAGAACTGGAACAAAGGGCAGTACCAGAAAATATATTGGTTGCCCCTAATAAAATTTATTTAGACAGTTTATTTCTCATAAAAAATAGAGATTGAATTTCGTACAGAAGCGCCTGCCAAGAGGCCAGGCACTGGGAGATCATCTCCCCCCGCACCTTCCTTTGCCTTTCTTTCCTTTTCTATCCCATCCCTTCCTTTCCCTGCCCTGCCCGGCGGCGCCTGGCGGGCCCGATCCCGGGGTCCCGGCCGGGGCCGGCTCTGCCCTCCCCTGGACAGCCCCCCCGCCCACGCCAGCCGATCCGCCCGAGCGAGGGCCGCGGGAGCGGTGCGTGCCGCGTCTGGGAGTAATATAACCCTAATTCTCCAGCGCTGTGACCCTGGTAAGAAAGGGTAGAGAACTTTCCAAACCCCAGAGCTCCCCCTCTCCCCTCCCCGCTAAACTCAAGCCCTGATTGAATGAGGCTGTAATATAAACAAGTGTATTTAACCAATTCTGCTCTGATTTAGAAACAGAACCTTCTTTTTTTCAGAATAATTATATTTGGACAGAGAAACACAGTAAAATAAGGTTAAACTGCTAAAGTCAGCAGGGTGGCTTGGCATAAATGGCTGATAAGGTTTGTAATTTGATATTTTATTTATGTATTTCTTGAGCATCCATCCAGTTAAGCCGGCTGCTGTATGCAGAGCACCGTAATTGGTTTTTACACGTAGCAACGCTCACAGCGTTTACCAAATGCAACTTTTGGTTGTTGGCTTGTTCGTGAGGCTGCTTTCTTTTTTTATTAAATGTTTTTAAATTTTATTTTTATTTCCAGACAGTAGTGCTGAAAAATCGGATATTATTATTCACGTTCCCGCTGTTCAGTGCTGCACTGTAACATTGTTCGCTTTAATGAGAAGCGCCTCCCTCAATAATTAACTACCTCACATTTCCTTATTTTCTTGCCTGATGAAAAGAATCAATTTTAATTCATTGTAAATTACAGCTATGCTTTTGAGTGTTATTTGCTTACTTTTCCACATCGACATACCCTAAACACAAATGACAAATCAAACTATATCCTTTCGTTAGGGGTAATTTGGAGTTAAGAAATGGAAAAGCATAAACACGTGTTTTCATTTCAATCAACCCTCTCGAAAATATGACTTCTTTGGAAACGAAGGACAAGGCTGCCAGCAGCTACAGATCCCAATTTATACATTCTAGTCAGAGCTAAACGCGACGATCATCGCCGCTTTACGACACTAGGCTGCACGTAGCATTCTGTCGCCCTTCTAAATACACTTCTTTGAAAGCAACTTTATGAAGTTTAAAGACATCCGAGGCAAGAACGCTCGCAACTGATCGGAAACGGAGCCGTCAGGTGTCCCGAAAACAGCCTCCCTAAGGTCGGCGGGGAGAGCTCGGGCCACCTGACACCTCTCCTCTAACACTGTTAAGAAGAGCATTTTCCCATTTTCTTATTCATGTAAATATCTGCATCCGGCTACAGAGGAGCCAAAGGCAGCGCCCGCGACTGTCTCCCCGCGGGCAGGCTGCGGGCAATCTCCGACAGTGAGGCGGTTACTTTAGATTGAAAGGATGGCTTCTATCAATTAATTTTAATCAGAGCGATGACAAGCAGTCTTTTATGGGGAAAAAGCTATTTTAATATAAAGGAATGCCTGACGCCCCTGCCCGCTCTTACCCGACCAGATGCAAACTCTTTACGCACAAAAGTCACCTCCCCCTCTCCATCCAGCTTCGTACGCATGCATGTATTATGTATATATAGGCTTTTGACATGATATTAAGTTCATAAACTTAAAAATGCGGAGTCGAAGCGTAACGCACTGTACTGTAGCTTTTGCAGTCGGACAGGAATTATTTGGGCTGCCCCGAAAGGCAAAGGGAACCCTGGTATTAATAATTTTTCAGATACGTCCCAGTTCAGGCAAACAGCACAGTGCCGGGGCGACTTTCAC